GATATTTAAGAAATATTTTGAAATAAAATGAACTGTGAAGCGTATTAAGCAAAAATATGTCATAAGAATGTTAAGTGAAAATTGGACTAATTAGTTATGGGATAAATAGATGTTAAATACGTCTGTTTAAGCTGAAATTAAAGTTCGACCTTACAGAGACTACTTTATGATCAAAATATCGATGATGCGTTTTAAAGACCTTGATTTCCGGTGGAAAGTTAAAAATAGGTGAAGATTTGGAAGAACGAGTAATGTTGCATATATACAAATTGCAATAATCGCGACAAGGTTAGATCGTTCGTACAGAATTAGAAGACGAAGGATGAAGTTGGTGAACTTCAAAACGATTGTCCACGTGTGCGTGCTTCTTAATAGCGAGCGGTATGCGGAAGGCTGCGTTGCTACATACCCCGAAGGAAGGAGAATGTACGAAAGACATACTTGAGGACGCATTCCCGCGACGACGCGACGCGGTATTCCTTTGAGAAGCGGCTACCCGTTGACAAGTCCGCAAACTTGGCATCGCTTTTATTGCGATACACGTCGCACAACGGCAATGTCGATTTAAAAGAGTCTCTTTTGATCCTCCTGCAGAGAATCTGTTCGCTTCGAACTACACTTCTCTCAATAAACAATCAAGATTCGCTCGCGAATAAGCTGAAAATAATTCATATTCAAAGATTCATTATATTCAACGTTTGGAAATTACGTACTAAGGAAATTATTACAAGGAGAAATGAAATTATTTTTATTATTATGCGGGATATTATGGCATAGTTGATGATCACGACATTCTCTCTTTATTTCCCTCGAAACCTCGAAAATTACATTACTTTGAAGCCAAGCTGACAAACGCGCGCAGAATCGGCGTGACAGGTACCAAAGGTCCTCCGCAATATTCCCGAGTCCTTCAGGAGGCAGGTGCCTCGCTGACGGCGCCGGAGGGGGCTCGACGGCGCCGTCGCCGGCGGATGCTCGGATCCCTCGGGAGTCTGAGTCCGCGTCAGAGCTACCTTGGGTACGCGGTCCCTCGGGATCTCCCTCGACTTCCCTCCCTACCTCTTGACTACCCATCGCAGCAGCAGCGGCGGCGGCTCTTCCCAATGGCGGCGGCTGTCTGCCTGCCTGCTTGCCTGCCTGCCTGCCTGCCTTCCTGCTTGCCTGCCTGTCACGGACTCCAAGACGTACGGCGGCTGCAACGCGGATAGAGATATCACGTGCGCGTCCCGGATATAACCCGCAGGGCGCTCCTTTATTCGCGCCGTATCGATTAATGACTCGCGGACCCTTGCCGACTTCTACGAGGATCGACGCGCCCCGCGGGACACAGCCCGATACAACCGGAAGGATTTACCGATGAGGTCAACTCGCGAACTTGACACAAAACGAGAGAGATATTGTCGTAAAATTATCACTACATTGTGTTAACTTCTAACCTCTTTAGTTTAACTCTCCTTGTTCAACGTTCGGTAAAGAATGGAGGGATATCTGGATGACACTCAGGTGGAAATATTGGTAGTAAAAATGAGACTAATTATTACAGGATAATCAGATGTCAAATACATCCGTTTAAGCTAAAATCACCTGATTTCGGTAATTTTTACAAAAATAAAACATTTTTGTAAGTTTAAAATAAAATTGAAATTGGGCTGAAAAATCGTTTATCCATGTTAGATCATGAAAGAATCGAGAATTTCTTGTCTTACACTTGTGTGGATAGAAACTTTTATTTACACCGTATATGTATCAAGTGTCAAATGTAATGTATTCGAGTGTTAATTTAACATAATGTGATTATGTTATTTGAAGATTTTGTGTTGAATTGATATTCAACATTTCTTAGTGTCAAAATGACACAATTTATAAGTAAGTGAATAAAAAACATAAAATTTTGAAATGTTAATTCTAAGATGAATGAATAAAATAGGAGTTAATTTAACATATAAAGGTTAATGTTTCCACGATTTGTTTACAAACTATGTAACCCTTTGTATTTATTCTTTTATATAATATGTGTAATCTTTCAACATACTTATCTTATGTTAAATTAATCTAAAAATTTGAGTGAATCATTTGGGACATGTAATTTATATTAAATTCGACATTGTTTCGAACAGTACGACTAAGGCGCTAAAAATTCGTATCAAAAAAGCCGCGGGAGACAGTGAAATCGCCAACTCTAGAAATTCCTAGAAATCAAGATAAAACGTTATTATTTGGAAGATGCGATATACTTTCACCGCGGGAGGCATTATCGAGAAGACGGGTGCATCGTGACTCGAATGATCCTCCTAGAAGGGGTTAAGCCGCAATATGCAGTTATCTTGCCCGGCGTGCATGCCGAAGCCATAATAACACATCCGTTTAACGTTAGCCACAGAGCTCGGGCTGAGATTGCAACCTGTATTTTCGTGAGTTTACCTCCCTCTTCTCCCTCCACGCGGCCACCTTCGCCGACCTTCTCCCGGACCATCTTGAGAATAGCGTCGTCTAGGCCAAGCTGTATTACATTGGATTGTTGCGAAACGACGTATGCGCATTATAGGAATAGCATACGTGCGGAAAGGGTGCCGTCGATACAACTGATCCCACCCTCTACCTTTACGATTATTATCATAAGGGTACACAGCCGTCTTATTTTCAAATTGTTTATGATATTTTATGGTAAATTGAATATGTCGATGTGAGTGATATCATTTTTTCAGAAATAATATTTTTGCACAGCTAAATATTACTCTACTCTATTTTATAAAAATGTGAGAAGAAAAAATTATGTTTAGTAAAAAGACTTTTTCGCGATTATATATAAAGAATTTTTTACGTCTAAAAATGAAATGATAATCCCGAATGATAATCTATGGGCACGAATCTAGCTTTGATCCCGAGACAATCAACGAATTGCCGAAAGTCCTCGGTTACACGATGATGGATGAACCATTAACTGCCGTGGTATCGTACCGGTAACGCGAACAGCGTTTTGGCGCGAGACACGCCTGACAGCTGACAGAGTTCGTAGGGTACCGAGGTGCATGATCGAAGGACGCCAGTACCTTCACGTCGTGTCTTCTGGAATATTTAAGCCCCACCGTCCCGTCTGTAGATTTGACGTTCCTCGTCTGACATTTAGCCGCGCAGGGTAAAGCAACGTTTAAGTGACGATTAGAAAAGTAATTTGTTGTGCATATATTTTTTCACCGAAGTTATTCTTTAGATTTATTCCCCTCTCTCTCTCTCTCTCCTAGCTTTTCTTTTTCTCTCCCTTCTTCAATCCATCACTCTTTCTCTTTCTCTTTCTCTCTCTCTCTCTCTCTCTCTCTCTCTCTTTCTCGTTCGCTCGATCATATTATCGTTGCAATCGTTATTTGAATCCCTGTACATGTGTACACATAATATTATAAAACGTTGTATAAAATAATATATTTTTCAATTTTTATTCTTGTTCCACATATATATATATACAGTTTAATAGAGTAAATATAGAAAAAGTCATTAAAAAATTTTAAACTCCTATACCGTGAGAGTAACTGTAACCGAAAAAAAACCGTTAAAAACTGTAATTTGTATGATTTCGGTTTTTTCTTCACTAGTTAACTGAAACTGAAACCGAAACACTTATCCGATGTTTTATAAAACCGTAGTCAGAATTGAACTAAAAAAACATTTTGATTTCTAGTTGTTGCATACATGCGAGAAATTTTATCATAATAAAGTTACTTTTATTTCATTTATTGTTATTTCGATAACACTGAACAACAAATTTTGATCAATATTTTTTTCACGATTTAATAATAGATTTTTATTTCTTATAAGGCTTCTTAACTGAAAAAAGTATGCTTTTCAAAAACTTCCTATTACTCTTTAATTTTAAAAAATTTCGCTTTGAACTTCTTATGTAATAATGTTAATTCGTAATAACATAATGTAATGTACAGTGAATCACTAAAGATATATGTATATTATTATTTTTCTAATGTTCAAAAATTAATGTGATATGAAATTTCTTTTATTGTTTACATACAATTTTATATGTGATAACAAAATAATAAAATTTATTGGCAATATTTAATATCAAAAAGTTACATTGATTTATAAGGTTTCTGTTTCAAGAATAGTGATGGTTATATATTTTATTCCATAAAGTAAAAGAATAAAGTTGTAAATTAATTCAATTTATAGAAAAGAATTGTTTAAAAAATGAGGATCTTGATTTTTTAAAATCTGTAGGTGATGGAAGAATTACATTCAGGTGTTTAGAAACAGAAAATTTATCTTATAAACCAGTATAACATAAATTAATTTAATTACATTGCTATTATTCGCAGAATAATTGATAAATATTATTAATCCTCATAAATATAGTTTTCAACGTAATTTGCATTCGAATAAATAATTCAGTAATTAACAGGGAATGTTCTCACTGCTTGTTAGCTTAATCAATCGTTAACAATGATAAATGCTATCATTCGGATGAAAGCTCGAAAGCGTGTAATGGAACGGACGGTTTTGACGCCTTCGGAAACTCACAATTGAAGCTCAATCGTCAGATTGTTATGCAAGTTATGGTGTAAACACACCGTTCTCTACGAAAAGCAAATTGCCGGGAGGAGAGATAGTAGGTCGGAGACCATGCAAAATAACAAACGACCTGTTGGCCGTCCGGACGAGGGTGTAATTTTTAAGTTTAATTCTGCGGTCCCATGTGACAAAACGGGTGGTGATGCCATCGCCCTGCGCCACGGACCAGATATATTTTACGGCGCGAAAAACAACGGTCCGTTATTTCGTTTTCAATGATGTTCAACGAATGCTTTTCACGACTAGATAGCTTTGTTTACAAGAGTTTAAAAACGATTACTATACCTAGCGGTAGATTCGATTTTTGCGACGAGATTTAAAGTAGGAATCCTTGCATTATGTACTTCGCGGCAGCTGCGGATTTCACTCTTTACCGGTGATATGTAAATGTAATAGAATTAACAATGGCTTCTCCCTGTGTGCAGGGGACGAAGAGTGGGACGACGATAACGAGCAGAATGTCCTGGAGGCGGCCGAACAGGATAACGAAACGACGACGATTAAGCGTGAGTGTTATTTGTTAGACTGCCAGCTCTCATGGACTTTTCTTTAGTATTTACGTACAACAGGTGGCAACGTTTGCACAAATGAATTATACAGGACAAATAGAAGATGTTTTCACTTATTTTAACACACTGTATATAATAAAAATTCGGAAAATTGTAATATAGAAAACCTACATTATCACCTACAAATCGCTTGCGATGGATTACGCATAATTTATTTACTTTTCACTCAATAAACAAATATTTATAACATATAAACATGATATTAAACGAAACAATTTTATTGATTGAATATATAATAATATTAATTATAATGTAAATTAGATAAATTAAAATTAGATTCTTCGAATAAAAAATAATTGTACGATTACATATATTTCAGAGGATGATGAGGAAGAGGAGGAAGAAGAGGAGCTACAACGAGCGTTTAGCCGTCAGTCAGAAGGTAAGACATATGTAGAATAATATACAAATAATGAAATGTTGTAACTGCTTCTTGTCGCTTGAATCGTAATATTTGTTGCGAGCACTTGCATAATTTTTTGAGCATCTCTCTCTCTCTCTCTCTCTCTCTCTCTGATTTAAATTTATATCTTATTCCCGCAATAAAAGTGATATAAATCGAAATTTTTCAAATTTCGTTATTATTTATTATGTGCGGATTGTGTTCTAAATGTCGATCTTTAAGGGGATTCTAAAGATAATATTTTTTCATGTTATAAGTAGTATTTACACATAGACGATTTACGTGTCACTGACATATTACATCAATATCACGCTCACGCATGCCATATATACATATTTTCGTATAACAATTACGTTTTAATTAGACATCTCAGTCCAATTTTAAAAACTTTATGCTGTTTCTTCATGCAAATTACTAGTCTGTGGATTACTATTTCATAAGTACAGATTGTACAACTTTTTTTATATGAAGCAAATGTTGTCACGACGTCATAGCTCTGGAGTATTATATTGGATCAAAAAATGGTAAAGATTTCAATTTTGAAATTTTTTGTCGTCCTCGGCATAGACTTCACCTCACAGACGTATTAATGCGTATACTTTAATTTCTGGAAAAGGATTCTTGAATCTGTAAAAAAAGAAGAAGGTAATTGTTATACAAAAATTATATTTTAGTTTAGTTGGTAATACAGATGACTTTAGGATCCCTTTAAATTGTGTTATTTTGACACTAAGAAATGTTTAATATCAATTTAACACAAAATTTTTAAATATCATAATCACATTATATTAAATTAACACTCGAATATATTAAAAAATTCAACGCAAAAATTTAACAAGGAATGGACTATTTCCAACACAAATATAAAATGTTTTTTACTACGTACGTAAAAAAAATGCCACAAAGGAAAAATGACACAAATCAAAATAAGGACAGTTTTTAGAGACAACTTAAATTAATATCTATATTAGAATTTCTAGAGAACTTGAAACAAACAATTTGTTATTCTAAATTAACTTATGTTTAATACTGTAATAATAAATAATTAATTTTGAAATATATAATTTTCTTTTCTTTCTCTCCTAAACAGTTTTATATTTTTTACTAGTGTCATTTTTCTAGCAAGAGCATGACGAACATCTTACGTAACGTACAATCTTTCTCTATCAAAATTTGCAGTAAAATCGATTGCTTTGCTGCGCAATGAGAACTATCCCGTATACACAAAACCGGCCTTCTTTGCGTAACAATGCGAAGAAATTGCGAGAGAAAGAGAAAGAATGAGAGAAAGCCGCTCGGTGCATTCTGGTGCATTACTCGAATTGCCCTACGGGCACGCAACAATGCGTCGCGATGTATTGTCATTGTTGTTCGAAGGTGTTCAAGAAGCGCGATCCCGCCATAAATCCCATGAATATGGGATTCCTTGGTCCCTTGGGGGACGCGCAGCACGTAGCTATCCCAAGCACGAATGCATGTGCATCGAACAATGCTGACATCGCGCATTTTTCGCCTCTTTTCCGCGCGCGGATGATGAGGCGTGCGTCGGCTTTTTGTCGATAGAATGACAGGGTTTTTAACTCCTCGTTCGTCACGCGGTTGCAACCGAATGTATGCATGTTCGATTATTTTATCGTGAAGCATTTCATCGGTATTTGAAATCAATTAAAAACGCAGAACGTACATACATTTCGCAACAATATATGTTTTTCGTTCTTTTGAGTACAATTGTTATAAATGTCTTTTTTTTAACATAGTCAAATGTTAAGTATTCATTATTCGAAATTTTCTATATTAAAATTCGCTCCGTGACGCTTTCTTTCGCTTTTGATCTACCCTTTTTAATTCATAGCTCGATCAATTCTATGAAAAATAATAGGAAAAAATCCGCATAATTGAAATTTATTTTATCGCAATTATATATTTAATTTTCTACCGTAAATAAATTTTCTATTTTTACCTCCAAGACAGCGAACGAAACGACCAACAGATTAACCAGATAGCATCTCTCGCGACGTCTACTTTTCGTTTTCTTTCGTAGTCTCCCGACAGTTTCTATCCGAACTATTTTTGCGCTAAGTAAAATTTCCGCGTCCCCTGTGTGCGCACAGCGTGTGCCCTACGGTACCGCCCTTGTTACGTAACTAGCGAAACTGTCTCGAAAGATTCGTACCTTTCCCAAGTATCCAGCAGTTTTCCTCCCCAAGGAGGCCAGGAAGATCAAACCTTTATCCGCTCCCCCGTACGTACGGCACGATTATTATTTCAGGTTACCTTTCGCAAAGTGTACTTGCGCGCGCGCTTTATACTCGGAGGTAAAACCGGCTTGGAGGAGCTCGCGAAGAACGAGGTTGCCTCCCGCAGGAGGCGGCCCGTACTCCCACGGGAGATGCCTCGTCCGTCTGCTTACCTGAAAACATCGGGCTTCCTTCGGCTTCTTTAATGCTCCGTGTACCCACGCCGCTCATTAAACCATTGGGACATCGTTATTTTCTCCCTTTTTTCCTCGTTTTTCAACCCAGTGAACACACTAATGCCTCCGTTCCGCAACGATCGGTGAACGTTTTCAAAGATGGCTTTTAACTTGTTTTTTTAAACTTTCCGTATTTAATCTCTTTAAACATTTCTTTTTAATGTGCCTTCTTTAAGGATCTATATGTTTCTCCGAGCTTTTGTCCTTAAATATCTAATACTCTTGAACGTCCTGAAAAAGATCAATTTCACTCTGTTTGATGATAAAATCTCCATTTGAAAGAGATAATTTTAAACCTTTTGCGCTTAATTACATTATTTTAGTACGACAGAATTATAAAAGAACTTTAAAAATTAAATACCAGGGTTGGAAAAGTTACATTATAAAACAGTAATTTTCATTACTATTATCATTTTTTTCTCTGAAAAGTAACTTATTACCGTTACCCTCATTACTGATTTAAACAAATAACCTCTTACCGTTACTAAAACATTAATGAGTCATTATAATTTCTATTACTTTTTCATCACATTTTGATTATCTTTTTTTTACATTTTTTCAAAATTGTTTGTGTGCTAATTAAGGTTAGGATAATGACTTTATAAAAGTAATTCGTTATTGTTACTGATTTACAAAAGTAACTTATTATCGTTACTGTTATTTAAAAATTAACGAGTTATTCTAGGTTTTACTTGTTCGTCGCATTTTAAGAACTCTTTTTTACAGTTTCTTTTAGAATTGTTTATGTCGCTAATTAAAGTTGAGAAAGTTACTTTATAAAAGTAACTCGTTACCATTACTCGCTGTTGATTTAAAAACGTAACTTGTTACCGTTATTATTGTTCAAAAACTAATGAGTCGTTAAAATTGTCATTACTTTTTCACCGCGTTTTGATAATCTTATTGGTATATATTTTTTGAACTATCTTTATTATGTATCTGATTGACCAGGTTCAACACGAGGTCTATGTATAATGGTTGTGGTTATCACAACATGATAAAATATAATACTCTCTTCTCAGACTTGCTGCTGACGCAATGCTCCCAAAAAAGTAAGAATAGTGAGTCTTGTATATTCGAAATAGTGAGAGAAAAGTGAATTTTTTTGAAATGCTGACCAACAAGTTAGTTGGTTTAGATTTGATTAAAATTGTATAGAACGTTATCTAAGGAGATTGGTACTATATTATTTTTTAAATAATAATTTAATATTAAATCTAAAGGCATTTTTGAATTTTAAAAACAGTATTGTTAAAAATACACGTTTCAACACGTTCGACAGAGAGGATGACAAATTTCCATTAACAATAGAATTTAAAATTGCCTGTCTTGAAAAAAAAAGTGAAAATACAGCCACTCTTATTCAAAAGTAATAGATTTTCGCTCTTTTTAGAGTGAGATTTACTCTTTTGAAATGAGATTCACTCCACGGGAGTGAAATCTCAATCCCTTTTTTGGAGTGAGGTTCCATCTATCCTGGTATTATACTAAATAATCAAAAGTAAAAGAATCCCGCCACCATATATTCAAATTATTCAAATCTACCCAGAAAAGAAACGCAGAAAAAATATTAAAAAACATAACTTATTAGATAGAAATTATAATAAACATAGAAATAATACAATTTTAGCGGAAAAAAGTGAAAATAGTCAGTTTTTACTGAAAAAGTGAGCAAAAGTGAGCCTTCCTCAAATAGTGAGTAAAAGCGAGAATAATAACTCGGCGGCAAGCCTGTTTTCTTTTAAAACTCATACGCATTCTATATACATGTATTATATATGTACAAAGTAATATAAAAGAAAAATAAATGTAACGACTATATTTATCGTTACCTAAAAAAAGAATTGTTATCATAACGTTACAAATAAGGAAATGTAACGTGCGTCGATATACATTTATTACTAAAAAAAAAAAATCGTAATCACGTTACAATTGAGGATGTATAAATAATGCATTACTTCCCAACTCTGCTCAATACATAATGAGAATACAGGTCAAAGTAACTACTGAGATATTTTAGAATCGGAGTTATGTTTCACTTTCGAATCCTTGAAGTTTGTCGCGTTCAAATAATGGCTGAACGTAATTACCGTGACATACACTTTCGCATCTGCTTTTTCATTAAATTATTATGTTTCAAGTTAAGCATCTTGATAATATTTGAAGAACAGCATACGTTTGATTACGAAATATTAACATCTATAAAGTAACTTCAGTTTAAGAATTACAAATTTTTTTATTTATAATGCAACATTTATTTTTTGACATCGTGCATATAATTTAAATTTTCTAGACGTGTATTAATATTAGAAGTAGCAAATTATTATTATTGACACCGTTTCTATTTTTTTATGAATATTATATTTTTTATATAAAAAAATGAAATTCTTTAATTCTTTTCAGTAATTATCTTTACTTTAATTGTCTTTACTGATGAAATATTTGATTTTTCATAATTTTCTTTACTTTTATAACTTATTCACTTGGTTCTTTTAATGCGTAAGAA